TGGACGCGTGAGAAATGTCTAAAAGTCAATTGAATGCAACAAATTCTCAGTATTCTGTGTTTTTGAGGCAGAGGCGTTGCCCCAACGCTCCCAATTAAATAATTTACAATTTTCTAGATTAGGCGCCGCCTGCGACGAGGCGACATTGAACGACTGAGCACAGTTGAGCTATGACTCAGTCGACTCTCGAGACTTGAGATCCGGTTTGCCAGCTAGAAAATCTTTACAGCCGACACGCACACCTATTAAGGACCTGGAGATTGCTGGCAAGATTCAGAGAGAATGTCAACTCAGTCGAGCAATTAGCTGGTAAAACAAATGTGAGACAATTTTAAAAATTCCATTGCATTCATTGCCCGTTTGCCTGGCATCGTTTCTTGCCAAATCGCTTGGATTTTGGCGGCTTAGAATAATTAATGCACCCGCCTGCCAAATGGCCGGGTGTTAATTTATGGTTGTCTACGTAAATCGCATATCGTAAATCGTAAATATGCTATGTCTATGGCATAATCGCAAGCTCACAATTGCAGCTACCCAGTTGACTTTTGGAGGTTGGGCAAGGCGACAGACAGACAGACAGACAGATAGACAAACACAGATCAGAAATCATTTTTGATTGTTACTTTGCTTGTTAGCAATTTCCTGCCTGCCCACAATTTGTTCATATTGTGTTTTCATGCAATATATTTACATATTCTGGGCTATCTTGCAGCAACATTTCAGTATAAAACAATTAAATACGTTGCAGTCGAAATACATATATTTGAGTGAGCGCGAGTGGGCTTTATCTCTTTTTCTTCTTATGGGAACTTACACTTATTCCATTAGCCAACATTTGCTGACATTTGCTACAAAGCTGCAGCTCATAATTTTAATTTACGATACACAACTTCATAGGCATGGCTGTCAAGTAGACGCGGGTATATATGCAAAATTTAAAAACTCAACTCCAACACGGATGTACAAATAGATATTACCAGATATATGTAATTGTCTTTAAAAACTGAGCGCAGCAGAAGAAGTGCAAAGTATTTTTTATGGAATTTCACAAACAAAAATTTCATTCTTAAAACATGATACTGCAAAGTGTCATAATTTTGTACATATGGCTTGCTCGAAAAAATTAACTCGCATTAAAAAGCCGAAAAAAGTGGCCAGTATTTACATATCAATATTATTACAATCAATCTTATAACAATCAATGCTACATATAAATAATCACAACAGGTCATAAATTGAGGCGACATTTGCAGAGGTCACATACAAATCTTTTTCGGAATTTCTAGCAAATTTGGTGAAGGATCTGGAGACTCCAATTCTAATTATTTCAGCCGTAATATCAGTTTTTCATATAAAAATAAGAATAATAATCAAAAGACTTTTTTCCAGTTAAATTTCTTACATTATACTGGGCAGAAAATAAAAGTACAACGGAATACAAAAAATATTTGCCTATTTTATTTAAAGCATCAGCAAAGGCCGATCTTTTTCCTCCATTTTAGCGATTGATATAAAAATGTATCTTAATACTTTTGCTGGCCGTTATATATTTGTAAAAATTCTTGGCTGACAAGATTTGTTTCGAACAAAAGTGGTTCAGTGTCAGATGCTTTTCGACTTATGTATGGACTTTAAAAAACTGCTTAAAGCTTCATAACAGGGTAAAATGCTTATGCAGTACAACAACAAGAAATATCAATTTCTGGAAATCAGATAGTTCCATATGCTTGATTTTATGGTACCAAAATTACGCAATTAGATAACGATCAATTTTTCCTAAAACACGACAACAGCTAAACAATTTTAGTTGTTTCATATAATTTAATGGAAAACATTTCACAGCATGAAAAACGTGTTGGTAAGGCCCAAGCCTAAGCCAAGGTGGATAAACACAGAGCATAAGCTGCCTTAGGCCGTAATTGTAGTCAATCCTGCGGCTATTAGCGCGACTCGCAATATCAGTTGACGGCAAAATAACACGCATACGCAGTGTTGTACGCCCCACACTAACACACACACATAGAGAGTTTGATACCCAACCCGTTCGGCCTTTCAGCATTTTTTATAGCGATTTTGCACTTTTAAAACTGGTTCAGTTTTTCGATGCGTGTAGAATTAGATTCAAGATTTGGGTTTTTAGAGATTCGAGATCGTCAATTGCGCAAATAGGCAGGCGGTATTAAATCTGTATCTTTATGAATATGTGTTGGCAAATTTTGAAATGTTTACGCACGCGGCATGTACAACATGCATTTCGATTTTCAATGAGCGACAAACAATCTAGATAGACGCGTGCACACACATAGACAGATACACACACACACACACACGCACATACATGCGCACAGGTCGCTACAAAGCTGGGCTCATATGGGTATGTAAAATAATCGACGTGAAAATTTTAAGTGAAATCTAGATTTTTCAATTAAAAATTGATGCTGTGCGGCGGGTGGAACAGCCGCCGAGACGTAGGAGGAGCAGTAGGAGCAACAGCAGCAGCAGCAGCAGTATTAGCAGGCGGCGGTTGTCAGGCGGATTTCGTCATGATGTTAAGTAGGCAATGGTCGTATGTGTTAGCCATGGCCAGCTGTAGTCGCCGTCCGTGTTAGCCAAGTGCCTGCCCGTTGGCAATTACGTAACGCCCCGCGGCCTGAGCTCAGTGCGTGTGTGTGACAAATGCGCGACGAACTAAACTCGACCAGTCCAGCCGAAGTAGGTTAAAATTGCAGCTGACTAGCGGTTGGAGTTTGTAGTTTGTAGTTTTGGAGTTTTCGTATTGGTTTGCAAATGCAAAAATTAAAATTCAATCAAATTGCGAAAACCCGAAAATCAAAAAAAATATATATATAGGTAAAATAAAAAGAAAACGCCAAACAGTAAGACAGATAGACTAAGAGTCGAGCAAGCAGCCAGAGCTGAAACATGTTTCATGTTCAATTAACAGGCCCAAAAATCCCAATACCAACGACAGCCTTTCACTCTATGTACACTGCGTATGCGTATTATTCTCCATTTGGGGCGATAAAAAATCACATCATGACACGAAATACTTAATTGGTCCATAAGGTTTATCGCTGCAAGACAACTGGAATCGGCATTCCTTCTGGTCTGGCCAAGTGTGGTCCGGCCCCGTTGTGGGCCGGCTCAGATGTGGTCTGGTCTAGTCGGGGCCAGTATGGACTTCTAATTGAAATGTCAACGCGTGTGCTGCTCAATCAATTTTCCAGGTAAGCGGCTGTGGTCTGTTTATGGTCAGTATGTCTGCCTAGATCGCATTGATTTTATATCGATTCATATTGGATCGCTTTTAATTGATTTGCACGGCATGTGGTGTCAGCCGCAAGTCAGGGACAAAATGTGCCAACTGTGGCAACATGAAGTTGAAATGTGTTGTGGCGACTCCAAGACAGCTAATTAAAAACAATATTTGATTCGTATTTGAATTTTTGGCAACAAAATGTAACTACGCCAGCCAGTGGGCTCACAATTGACAGTTTTCATATCCTGAATTGGACATTTTCTAAAAAGCTTTTGATATAATATTTATCTTATTTTATGGAAACTTTAGTAGCAATCAATAATATTCAAAGGAGCTTGATGAAATCTTCCCTTAGAGAAGTTGAATATCGTTTAAACGATAATTATAATAATAATAATACCAGGAGATCTCGCATTCAAAATGTACATTACATTTTATCACAAAAATAATTTGATCCTTTGACATAGTCTTTAATCTTGAATCTTGCCCATAAGCCAAACTTTATTGTCAAGAAAAATATAAATAAATATATTAATTTCTGGAATAAATGCTTTTAACCAATTGGGCTGCATTGAAATAAGACAGAATGCACTCCATTGTGTGATAAGCATTTTTAATGGCTTAAATTCAATTACGTATCAAATACAAAACTATTCATGCAGCCTGTTAACTAGCCATAACGCTATTTGTTTGGTCATTTGCAAGAAAATAAATACCCCCGACAGTTATCGAACACACCCGCGTGCGAATTGTGCGCGTTTTAAAACACGGCGACACAAAAGTCAGAAAAGTGACCTTAATTGCCAACAAGTCAACACTTGGTCATATCGCGGGTTATTCTATTATGCACTATATACACATACATATACACATGCATATATATGGCGCCTTTTATCTAACTAATGCACAATCAAGGCCCCAGGCACGCACAGACAGAGACAAAATTTATTGATAGCGACATTAATACCACAAGTTTGTAATTTTTTTTATTTTTTGGTCGGCGAGCAAATTGCGTATGAATTTTAAAGTTGGCTTGCATTTTTTTGCCACAGCTACACGCAATGGTCGCGATTAAAATCTAAATCAAATTAAGTCGCTTTAAAAGCATATGCAAAAAAAAAAAAACGTGGCCAACAATGCAGCAGGCGCAGCAGCAGCAGCGGCAACACAGCCACCAGCAAGAGAACTGGGCAAAAAACGCACCACGCGCAATTTTTTGAGCCGATTTCGAGCCGAGGCGTTTGCTATGATCTAATAAAATGCCAGAGCCAGATCAGCGCGAAGGTGGGGCCTCCAAATAGACGATGCAGGTTGCCGCGAGAGAACCCATAACAAAAGAGAACTGCCAGCTGCCAACTGCGCAGTCGAGCAGTCATCAATTTTTCTTCAGTCAGTCAGGCAGTTTGCAGTCGCAGATTTTGAGCTCTGACTTGACTTGACTTCGCTTTTCCTAACTCCAATATTTTTTGCTGCCGATTTTCTGCTCGTTTTTCCAATTCGCCTTGTTTTTTGCCTGTGTGTGTGTATATGTTTGATTTTTCTGTCGCTAAACTGGTGCGTGGCTGCTGCGCATGCGTGTGAGCCAAAACTGACCGAACGTATATAAGCGATTATAGGGCCGGGCTGGCCAACAGTCAGCCGCGTTGCTCTACATCGAGCGAGCGTTGCGTGTGCCGTGTGCCGAAAGTTCGAATACGTTAAGAAACGATATTAAGTATACGCACATATTTCTCAAAGGACATTCATCGTGATACGTTGGATTACAACAAGGATTACAAACGTGTGCATTCTTTTTCGAACAATTAAAATTTATAATAAAATAAAGTTTATATAGTGCGCCCAACTTGATCAGAACGTTTATTTCAACCCCAACTAATTGTGCAACATAAGTGATATTATGAAGGTGGGTTCCCAGAAAAAATAATAATCAAATATTTAAAGCAATTACGTTACCGTGGTCGCTCAAAATCCAAGAACATAATTATGCCTCAAGCCTAAAAAGGATATATATGGATATTTTAATTATAAACTGTGTCCTAATCAAGTGTGCTAAGCTAAGAAATGGCACGCAACCAGACTTTAAGGACTAAAAATAAAATTTAATATCATTTTGTACTTTATAGTGTACAAAGAAACATATGGAAAATGTGGCTAGAAAAACTATAGAAAAATACATTTTTCTCGAGATCAATAATTAAATTTGTGGAACATTTGTGGAACTCAGAAATTAGATTTAAAAACTGATGCGTAATTTACATTTCTTTCTTCAAGGATAGTTTGGAGATTTGTTTCTTTAGATTAATTGAATCTAAAGAGAAACTTTCAAATACAACAGTCTCAATATATAATACATTCATATTTTTTAAATGTATATTTGAAGTATATATTAATAGTTCATAGTATATATCATTAAGCAAATTTAATTGGCAGGTGTATAATATTCAAATTTAGAAATTGGGCTTAAGCGACCTTTTTTTTAATATTATTTATCATATCAAGATCCTTTCTCCTTTCCTAAATAATTCTAATTTCAATTGTTTGAGCCCATCACTTTTTTTCTAATGGGCGAATATTGTTTTAGGATTAATAAAAAATTGAATTGTAAATTAGAATTTTGATAATATGCAACAAATAACAATATTTTATAGTAGAAATATTGAGCATATAAGTTGTTATCTGGACATACATAATAGGCAAAAGGGGACTAGGGCTTATGGTTTTAAATTAATTTTGTTAATAATATTTTAAATCAAATATGCTGTATTCGTTATTTAGCAGTCATATCTATCTTTTAACTCACCTTGTTTTGTTTCTAGCTCCGACTTATTGCGCTGCTGAGCCTACTGCTCAGCTCAGCACTGGCAGAACCCTCGCCGACCATAGCACCAGCGATTGTGCCGTGCGTGCATGCGAACGGCGCCGCTGGCTACTCGTATGCGCCACCAGCCGAAGTCAAGTTCTCCATATCGCCTGGCGTGACAAAGTACAGCCAGTCGCCGGCCATTTCCAGCTACTCGGAGAATGGCAAACTGTTGCACTCATCCGTTGGCAGCGGGGCTGCTTCGTACGAATCCAGCGCGGGTCTTTCGGGTTATTCGCACGGTGGTGTAACCCAGATAGACAAGTATGTGGCGCCTATACAGAAGTCGCTATTTACACCCTCGGCGTCATATGGTGGGCCTGGCATCACCTATGCCGATAAGTCACCAGCTGCTAAATATGCAACTGTGGTGCCATCGGGCATTGAGCTTAAGAATTTGGTTTCGCCGACCTTAACCAAGACATTGCTGACTGCTCCCAAGCTGGACAGTGGCTATCTGCCGCCGTCGCCGGCCTTGACCAAGGTGTCTACATATTCGTCGCCCGGCTACACCTACAGTCAATCAACTCCAGGCATTTCCAAGCTGGCCACTTATACGGCGCCCTCCGCTTCCAGTTCGGGCTACTATGCGCCACAGGTGACCACCAAAGTGGAGACCTACACCTCACCGGGTTATACGTACTCGAAGGCGACGCCAGGCTTCTCCAAAGTGGAAACCTACAGCTCACCGGGTTACAGCTACGCACAGGCGGCACCAGGTCTTGCTAAGATAGCCACCTACTCGCCCTCGGTAGCCTATAGCGCGCCTGCTATTGCCAAGGTAGCCAGCTATGCAGCGCCTGCTCCTGCACTGAAGCTGGCTACTACATCCTCGCTGCTGTCCTCACACGGCACGGGCTACGGAGCCAGTTATGCGCCAGCGCTTTCCAAGACTTATTTGCCGGCATCGCCCGCAATTGCTACGCAATATATATCCTCACCTGCCAAGTTGGCCTCTTATAGTGCTCCTGCCATATCCAGCTATTCAGCTGCTCCTGCCATCACCAAGTTAAGCTCTAGCTATGGCACTAGTGGCTCTGGCGCTATATCCCATCAATATGTTTCCAAACCAGCCGTGGCTACCTATGCAGCTGCTCCAGCTGTAACCAAGATATCCGGCTATGCTGCTCCTGCTATCAGCACTTATTCCTCAGCTCCTGCCCTCACTAAGATAGCCAGCTATGCGGCGCCGTCAATCTCTACGTATTCCTCAGCCCCTTCACTTGCCAAGGTTGCAACTTACAGCCAAGCTGCAGACGTTTCGCATCAATATATTTCCAGGCCCATTGTTGCTGCTTATCCCGCAGCAGCTCCAGCGATTGCTAAGGTGGCCACCTATGCAGCACCTGCTGTGGCCACCTATTCCGCTGCACCCGCCGCAAGCTATGCCAGCTCTGGACATGGCGCCATCTCTCACCAGTATGTCTCCAAGCCTGCTGTGGCTACCTATGCAGCTGCTCCGGCGATTGCCAAAGTGGCCAGTTATGCAGCACCCGCCATATCCTCCTACTCCGGTGCTCCAGCCATCACCCAAGTTTCCTCAAGCTATGGCAGCTCTGGACATGGCGCTGTCTCCCATCAGTATGTCTCGAAGCCCGCTGTGGCTACAATTTCTGCTGCTCCAGCGATTGCCAAGGTGGCCAGCTATGCAGCACCCGCCATATCCTCCTATTCCGGTGCTCCAGCCATCACTCAAGTTTCTTCAAGCTATGGCAGCTCTGGACATGGCGCTATCTCTCACCAGTATGTCTCCAAGCCCGCTGTGGCTACCTATGCAGCTGCTCCGGCGATTGCCAAAGTGGCCAGCTATGCAGCACCCGGCATATCCTCCTACTCTGCTGCTCCAGCCGTCGCTCAAGTTTCCTCAAGCTATGGCAGCTCTGGACATGGCGCTGTCTCCCATCAATATGTCTCTAAGCCCGCTGTGGCTACAATTTCTGCTGGTCCAGCGATTGCCAAGCTCGCCAGCTATGGGGCACCAGCAGTGGCCACGTATTCCACGGGCCCAGCACTCTCAAAGATTGCCAGCTATGCAGCACCCGCCATATCCACCTACTCAGCTGCTCCTACTATCACCAAAGTAGCTACCAGTTATGGCAGCTCAGGTCATGGCGCAGTCTCCCATCAGTATGTCTCCAAGCCCGCAGTGGCCACATATGCAGCAGCTCCTGCTGTTACCAAGATTACAAGCTATGCTGCTCCCGCTGTAGCTAGTTACTCCACTGGGCCAGCCGGCACCAAGATAGCCAGCTATGGCGGCCCTACCATCGGTTCAGTGCACTCCAGCGGTGCCGTCTCGCATCAGTACGTTTCCAAACCCGCTACAGTGTATGGCTCTGCTCCTGCTATTGGCAAGATTGCAAGCTATGCTGCGCCTGCGTACTCGACGGGCCCAGGTATTGCGAAGATCGCTTCCTATGCCGCTCCAGCCATATCCACATATTCCGCTGCTCCCACCATTACCAAATTGGCCACAAATTATGGTAGTTCCGGACACGGTGCCGTCTCGCATCAATATGTCTCCAAGCCCGCAGTGGCTACCTATGCAGCTGCTCCGGCTGTTGCCAAGATTGCTAGCTATGCTGCTCCTGCTATCAGCACCTACTCTACATCTCCGGCATTTGGTAAAGTGGCAAGCTATAGCCAAGCTGCTGACGTCTCCCATCAATACATATCCAAGCCCATCGTTGCCGCATATCCTGCCCCAGCTCCAGCGATTGCTAAAGTGGCCACCTATGCAGCACCAACTGTGGCCACCTACTCCGCTGCGCCCGCCACAAGCTATGGCAGCTCTGGACATGGCGCCATCTCCCACCAGTATGTCTCCAAGCCGGCTGTGGCTACAATCTCCGCTGCTCCAGCAATTTCCAAGGTGTCCACCTATGGTGCTCCCGCTTTAACTACCTACTCCGCTGCTCCTGCCATCACTAAGGTGGCCACCAGCTACGGTGGTTCTGCACATGGTGCTGTTTCCCATCAGTATGTCTCCAAGCCCGCTGTGGCCACAATTTCTGCTGGTCCAGCGATTGCCAAGGTGGCCAGTTATGCGGCACCAGCTCTCGCTACGTATTCCACGGGTCCAGCACTCTCAAAGATTGCCAGCTATGGAGCACCCGCCATATCCACCTACTCAGCCGCTCCTGCCATCACCAAAGTAGCTACCAGTTATGGCAGCTCTGGACATGGCGCCATCTCCCACCAGTATGTCTCCAAGCCCGCTGTGGCTACGTATGCAGCAGCTCCTGCTGTTACCAAGATTGCAAGCTATGGTACTCCTGCTTTAGCCAGCTATGGAGCCACGCTCTCCAAGACCTATTTGCCGGCTGCGCCTGCTGTTGTCGCTTCTCCGGCCATTGCCAGCTATGCAGCCCAGCCAGTCGTTACAAAAGTGGCCGCTAGCTATGGTGGATCAGGCCATGGTGCTGTGTCCCATCAATATGTGTCCAAGCCAGCGATTGGCGGCATCGCATCTGGTCCAGCTTTTGCGAAGGTGGCCACTTACTCGGCTCCGGCCGTGAGCCACATTGCCGCAGCGCCAGCAATTGGCTTAGGATATGCAAGCACTGGACACGGCATCACCAAAGTGGCCACCACTTATGGCAGCTCAAGTCATGGCGCTGTCTCCCATCAGTATGTGTCCAAGCCAGCGATAGCCACTGTTTCCGGAGCTCCAGCAATTGGTAGCTATAGTCACGGTTATTCCGACTCCAAGTTGGGATTGGGCCTGGGCCTGGGCCTGGGCTATGGCTCCACTGGACATGGCACTCTCTCCACTCAATACTTGTCCAAGCCTGCAGGCGGTACATTGCTGACCAAGCTGACTACAGCACCAGCAACTGGTCACGGCTATGCCAGCAGTACGGCCTATGGAATTAATGCGGGTAAGTTATACAGATCCCTGCCTTTCGTTCACTTTCATAATATTTTGTGTCCACTTTACAGGTAAATTAGCCTTGGGTTCGGCTGGCGCGCATGATGCCTCATATTATGGCGCCATTTCACTTGGTCATGGCGCCGTCTCGCCTGCACTTACTTATCACGGTGCTTTAGGCCATGCTACTGGTGGTTTGGCACATCTGGGGGTTCCACTCGCTGACTACAGCCATGGTCCTGGCATTGGTCCCTTTGGAGCTGGCTTCAATCGCTATGCGCCTAGCGTTTCAGCACTGAGCGCACATGCTCCGCTATCGCCCGCTGCCTATTTAAAGTCCGCACCTGTGGCACAGCATGCGCTGCTAAAGGTTTTGCCGGAGAAGCATCTCGAGCATTTTGTAAGTCCCAGTTACATGGTATTGTTCGGCCTATTTTCATGTAAATTGTTTGCACGACAGGATGCGCACCCGCGCTACGCTTTTGAATATGCGGTAAATGATCCTCATACGGGCGACAACAAGCATCAGCGCGAGGAACGCGACGGCGATGTGGTCAAGGGCGAGTACTCATTGGTTGAGCCCGATGGCAATGTGCGCACCGTCAAATACTACGCCGATTGGGAGACGGGTTTCCATGCCGAGGTCATCAACAGTCGCGACCAGGGTAAAATTGTGGCCAAGCGTCAGACAGCCGCCAAGTCGTGAGGTAAGCTCGATAACTATCGATAAATTCCATTGCCACACTAACGTCACAATCTATTGCATATATCGCAGCGACCCTAACGGATCAGTGACTTGTTTTGTTTGCCAGCAACTGTAAATAGCCTACGATTCAATTTTCTTCTCATTAAACATTAAACGTATTTATGTAAATCCCACGACAACAACAACAACAACAGCAACCACAAGCAACAAGAGAGCCGCCATCTTGCACCAGCACGTACCCGTTATCGTTACTCATTATATCTATCTCTTTTTTGCTCATGTGATAAGCGTTTCCAATTGGACTGCTTGAACTGCTCTCTTTCTCATTAAACTGCGCGTTTCCACAGATGTGTATATGCATACTTATGTCTATACGTGTATATATTGTGTAAATTGTAAATTGTTAATTGAATAAACGACATTTAAGAACGCTACAGTCGAGCGCTCGACATTGAGATCATTTCTACACGTTGTTGATTTTAACAAGATATTCTGGGCTATATAATACCACACATATATGTATATCGTTATCGTTCAACTGATCAAGTTGAAATGATATAAAAGAAATATTCTGATTGGAGACGGGATCGGAACGGGAACTCCGTGGAAATTTTTGATACATGAGGAATGGACGCAATTTTTGCATGATCCCAAAATTTCCACAGGTCCCGATATTACTTATGCGTACGAAAAATCAAAATTGCATTATATGAAATTTTTCATAAAGTTTAGATTTGTTTTGTGTTTAAATAAAAATGTTTCAGCTTTAAAATATTTTTAACTTTTACAAATACAAAATTATAAGAAAAGGAAATATAAAAATAGCAAAATTCGTTATTTTAATAAAAATTTCGAAAAGTGAAACTTTAGATTATAAATTATAGCAATATATTAAGGGTGACCAGAGAGCGGCACCTTTTTTTAATATGATAAACAATTAATGTTATTTCAATATTTTCGCTATGTACTGCAAATTTAATTATTTTCGATTAACAAACAAAATGAACTTTATAATAATAGTTAATAGGTTAAGCAGCAAATCACATTAATGTACTTTTGTTTTCGCCGTAATACATTTGAGTCTAATACTATATATAACTTGGCCTAAAACGCGCGCCTCAGATCGTCGCTTATGAAGAACCCAAAATCTGTGGGCGCCGCGCGATGCGGATTCACTGTGCAATATGTTTGGAAGATATGTCGCAACAGGCGGCTGCCCTCCAGCTTAATGTGCGAGCGACGCTGAGGACCGCTGGGACCCAGGTCCAGATGGGCGAGCAGCCACTTGTTTTTTAAGCGGCGCAGTTGGGCTTCCAAGGCAGCCAGCTCGCTGCTCGGCTCCAGCTGCGGCACATGCAACGGCTCCAGAGCGGCAAAGTTTTTGCACAATTCATTACCCTGCAATTGGACGCGTAATTTGCGTTCCTGACGCAGTGCCTGATGCATCAGATTCATTTCCCTGTTGCAGTTGCGGGTCGAGCTGGTGGCACATGCGCTGTCCACCTGCTGCTGCTGCTGCCAATGCTCCTGGGCCTGCTCCAGAGTGGTCAGCTTTTCGTTTAGTATGTTGAGGGCGTGCTGCATGGCCGCCTCCTTGCAGAGCATGGCCTGCTCCAGCTGCTCCATGCCGTCGGCCATTTGGGTGAGAGTTTGGCAATAGTCCTGGCTGAAACGGTGCACCTGCTTTTCGGCCATCTCTTTGCGTACTTGAAGCTCCGAGTAATCCTGTTGCTTCAGCTTGGTCGCATATTTAAGTGATTTGATTTCCTTCTCCCGCTCCGACACCGCGAGCTCCAAACTCTTGACATCCTCATAATGGCGCCTGATTTGAGAGGCGCGCTGTTGCAACGTATTGCACGTGGGATGTCGCACGTATTCCGTGTTAACATCTCTGGGCTCCAGCAATGTGCAGAGCTCCTCCAGCTGCTCCTCAAGCAACTGCATGCAACGCTGACTATACGCATCCAGCTCCCGCTGCTCTGTCTCCTGTGCGGGCGCGAACTTGCTGTAGTTTAGGCTTAAGAGCCGCCAGAGCTTTTCGTGCGCAATGCCGCCATTGGACTCCTTGGTGGCCTCGCGCGCCGACACGCCCAGCATGCTGATGAGCGCGCCCAGCGCCTCGTTGGCCTCCAGGATGCGTTGGTAGCGCGCACATTGCATGCCCGTCCAGGCAGCGGCCGTCTTGTTTCCGCCCAGCTTTCGCTGCAGCTTCTTGAGTTTCTGCTTGGCTGCACAGCTGTGCTCCATAAGCAGCTGCATGCAGTGGAACGAGGCCGTCTGCTCATCGCCCAGCTGTATGATGGTGTGCAGCATGCCCGCATTCGCGTTCACCGAATCCATGCCCGCCTCGTAGACCTCAATCAGTGCCACATAAAGCTGCTGCTCATCCAGCAGATCCACCAGCGTCTGTGGCGGCATCAGATTCTGATGCAATCCATTGATGTAGTGCAGTACACGACGTATGGGCTCGCAATTGGTATGCTCATCCAGCTGACCTGTCTTTAACAGACGTACAAAATCATCCAGCTGCTGCTCCTGCGACTCCAGATCCATGCGATAAATGGCCGCATGTGTGCACAGCTCATAGTCACAGTGATTGAGTCCATGGCGAAACTGCTGAAGCACCAGCTGAAGGCTCTTCAACAAATAGATGCACTGGGCCCGAAAGATGTAGCGCTGCACGGAATAACCCTCAAAGATGGCATCGCGACCTGGCAGGATAACAAGTATAGATCCACTTAAATATAGTCCATATCGTGACGGAAAACAGAACATGCTTAAAACAAATTAAAACTTGTTATTATAAATAAATCACTTTAAAAAAAATTTCCATCGGGGATTTGAACTTATAACGTTGCCTGTAGATATGATAATTATGTGATCTCAGCAATTTTGAGAGAACGAAGCCTATATGTAATAGTAGTCCATGTGGAAACTCTTTATTGATAAAGACAAAAATGTTGGCGACGCCTACAAATCTCAGAAGTCTATATTTTTCAAAGGAAACAAAGCTCTGGTCCAAGGAGTTGAACGATCCGTTGACCCATCCAAAACAGATCCAAGGTCTTTTTTTCTATCTCCTGTCCTATCTATTCCTGAGTTTGGCACATGCGTCCGGTCCCCACAATTTTCCATTTACCAAGACAAAATTGTATAATAATATAATAATAAAAATAATTCTTGTTATTTGCCATCCGTAGTTTAAACTGAGATCCTGGTTTGCGGTCGACATTATTTTCCAGTAGACTCCAAATAATTAATCTCTCCTCCTCAAATAATTTTAGAATTATTTTGGTGTATTACTTATTTATAGATTAATCACGGACGAGATTGTCTCCACTATGTTCACTAAATAAACTTATCTGTTCCCACCCTTTTCCCACACTTATACACTCAACTATGCCTGAAAGAAACTGTCCCGGATACCCTGCATAACAAGGTACTCTGTTCATCGGAATTCGAGCGAATAATAATAAACTTAAGAAATAGTTCTTGGACGAGCAAAAAGGAATAGATGACTTAACTATAACAACTTAACATTAGATAAAGAACACAAAAAGTATAAGGATGAGATTTGTAAAGCTTTCGTTTAGATATATGAAATATGGCTCTTTTCCAACTGGAAACATATGGTCAGAATGAATATATGACTTGGAATGGTACTCACCGAATTCGCAGGCATTTGGGAATTTCTCATTGATTGCCTGGCAAACGATCTCCAGCTTTTCGTTCATGCGTTCCAGCAGCAACATGACCAGCACCACGTCGTGCTCACCGCCACGTAGCAGAAACTGTTCCGGAACAAAGGCTAACACATGATCCAAGTGCTGACGTTCGAGACGCAGCTCCACGCCCTTGAGCTGTTGTTCAAGTGCGCGTCCATAGGCCTTGCTCACACTGAAGATGTGCTGATAGTCAGCCAGACTTTGCTGGGATGTCTCTTCCTGTTGCGATTCATTGGCGCTGCTAAAATCCTCAATGGATAGATTGCCGCCGTCTGTTTTGAGCTGCAGCTGCTCCTGGAGCTGACGCACCAGGTCTCTGAACTTCAATATGGTCACATCACGATCGTAGAGACTTTCCAAGGCGGCATTCTTTTGCTGCTCTAGCGACTTCACCTGACCGCTTAGCTTGTCAATTTCATCACGCAAGTCCGATTCCAGTTCCTGATTGCTTTCAATTAGCTGCTCCTGGATTTGTTCCAGTGCCTCCAGTTCGGAGACCTCATCCTCCAAGAGTTTAACACGCTCCTCTAGCTCCAGTTTGAGCGTGGCCAACTGCGTTACCATAGACTCGGCACCCAATGAGGCATCCACCTGCTCTTTAAGATCCATGAGCTGCGCTTCCATTTGATCCACGCGCCGACTCTGCAATTCCTTGATGCTCTTCAGTTCATTGATTTCCGAGTGCTTTGTCTCCAGCTCTTTGTGTGCGCGCTGCGCCAGCTGTTTCTCATGCGCCAGGGTATCCCGTAGTCGGACCACCGTGTCACGCAAACGCCGGTTATACTGCTCTAGGCGCAGAAACTCGCCGGTTGTCTGCAGCGTCGTTGTGTTCGTCGCCTGCTTCTCAGTCTTCTCGAGGCACTGGTCATTGTTGTGCTCCTGCTCCTGCTCGGCACGTAGAATTTCGAGATCCAAGCTGAGCTCATCGTTGCGCTCCTGCGCCATCTCCAGCTCCATTTGCAACGTCTCCAGACGCTCTTCGGCCATTTCCTTGTCTAGTGTTAAAAGTTCAACGCTGTCTGCCACATTGTCCAGTTCCCGCTTATATTTGGCGGCGGTCTCTTGAGACTCGCGCTGCTCGTGACGACACCGCTGCAACTCCCGCTGCAGCAGCACCTGCTGCGTCATAATCTGCGCCTTAAACTCCAGCAGCTGTTCGTTGTGTATCTTGATGCGCTCCAGCTCCAGCAGCTTCAGCTTGTCCTCACTCTTCTGCACGCGCAGCAGCTGCAGCTCCTCGCGTAGTTGCCGCAGCTCCGCGCTGTCCAGCGGTGGCGCTACCGTGCTGGGCGTGCGCAATGCCGGACCCGGCGTAAACTGTGGACGCAGTATCTCCAAAAAGCCAGCCTCCACAAAAGCAGCAGGTGCCGCCGCACGCTTCAGGCTGCTTGTCGGGCTCATGCTCGTCTTGCTGCGTTTGGGCGCCAAGGCCAGCGGCACCGGCATGGCCAGAGTTAGTTGTGCCGTGGTGCTCTGCGCCTGGGCAGTTGTCGGCTTCGGCTGACTGATGCGAGTCGGTCGCAGCTGTGTGTAGGATGTGGAGCGTCGTTGATTGCAGGTCAAAGCTGGTGGCGTCAATATGGACGACTGTGCGGCAGCTCCAGCTTGGTCCCACTTGGCCGGCCCAACAGCTTGAGATGGCAATGTGCTTGCACTTGATTGTGTGGCAGGATTAGACGTTATCTCCTGCTTTTGCTCCGTTATGTTCTGTGTAAAGGCTACAGCTTCAG